CACATTTCCCTCATCTTTCAAGTAATTTGTGGATACTGTCCCAATAAAATTTTTCCTGTTTTGAGGTAAACCATTCAGAGACACAATTTTCCATTTTTTTGTATGTTTTGAAGTGCTGCTCAGAAAGTGTGTGTGCCATCGTTCGGAACAAGTGGTAGTGTGAAGGAGAAAGGTCTGGTAAATCTTTAACTGTGTGTGGTGGTGTGTCATCATGAAGCAAAATTACTTTTCTGTGTCTTCTGGCACATTCTGGTCATTCCATGGTAAAAGAGTGGTTCAAATTGATTATTTGTTGTTGGTAGCAATCATTATTAATTGTTACACCACACCTTCCTGATCCTACCAAACACATAGCATTGTCTTTTTTTACAAAGCTATTTGGCCTTGCAGTCTATGTTGATAGTTGACCTAGATGAATTCATGACTTTGCGCATTTGAGATTCTCAAAATAAATCCACTTTTCATCACCAGTCACAATTCGATGCAAAAAAAGACTATTTCGTGCTGTTGAAGCAACATTTTTACCGATGATTTTTTGGTTTTCCATTTGTCTTTCATTCAATAGATCTGGCACTTATTCCCCTTCCTTTAAAATCTTTCCCATTGCTTGTAAGTGATCAGAAATAATTTTCAGAGAAACATTTAATCTTTCTGCAAGTTGTTTTTGAGTTTGACATGCATCTTCATCCATTAATGCTTGTAATTGTTGGTCTTCAAACTTTTTGGTTGACCTGGATGTTTTTTATCTTTCACATCTAAATCATCACTTTTAAAGCATTTAAACCAGCATTCACAAGTATCTTGAGATGGAGCATGTTCACCAGAAGTTTTCCAAAGTAAACGAAAACTTCCAGCAGCATTTTTCTTCAAATTAAAGTAATGAATTAAAACTTTCCGCAAATGTTCATTTTTTTTTTTTTTGGCACGAAATTCGCCATTTTTAAGTGTAAAAATATATACGCAAAAACACCTTTAGCAAATTTGACATATGAAGTTTTGAAGCGTGCTGTCAATACAACAAAATAGCATACATATCAAATCACATATGTATCAACATATGTGTAACTCCATCTATTGAAAAAAAATTTATATTATTAACAGGTACACTTGGTAAATGCCTCATTGTCAGCACTGCTGAGGCTAAGAAGTATAAATGAGGCATCTGGTAAAGGAGTGCGTGAGGGGGAAAATGGTGTCAGAGTGTCAAGTGTTAAATATGTCAGATTACAAATTTGCTAGTGTGTTGGAAAATAGACCTGATAATGGTGGTAAATACTAAGAATAGAGGACAGAGATGATTACATTTGAGTGGGTGGAAGAGAAAGGAACTTGAGTATAATATTTGAAGCTCTTTTTGAACAAGAAAAATAGTGGACATAGAGGACGTTATATCTCTGAGAGAAAAATAAGAGTTTGTATCCCTTGGAATTCATTATAATACAAGGTCAATTAAAGTGTATTAATAATTGTGTGCTGAAACTGTATTAGTTTGCTAGGGCTACCATAACAAAATACCACAGACTAGATAGCTTAAATGACAGTAACTTATTTTTTCACAGTTCTGGAGGCTGAAAGTTCAAGGTCAAAGTATTGGCAGGTTTGGATTCTCCTGGGACTTCATATTAGAGGATGATGTTATAAAACTAGATTAGTAACCATGAGTGATTTATAATAGGAAATATAAGATGTCTGCTTATATGTAGGTAATAGAATACCCAATAATTATTATTATACTATCTAATAAAAGAGTAATATGCAAAATTAACCATTACTCCACCACACTCACAAACCATGCCTACAAGCCAGTCATAAGTGAGTATGCAAATTAACTCAACTAAGATGGCTATGGCCACGGAGAGAGCAGGAGGGAGACTTGAGTTTCCCTGGCAATGGAGGAAGCCAAGTTTTCCATACACCCTGGCCGGCTCAGGCCTCTGCTTAAGGCTACAAAGTTTCAATTATAGAAGATAAATAAATCCTAACCAAAAAGGCAGCAACCATGGAGCTGGAGAGAGCAGGAGGCTTGAGTTGACCTTGGCAATGGAGGAAGCCAAGCTTCTGCAGCCCTGACCTGCTTTGACCTCCACTTAAGGCTACAAAGTTTCAGTTATAGAAGATAAATAAATTCCAACAGAAATGGCTGCCACCATGGAGCAAGTACCCTGTTTCCCCGAAAATAAGACAGTGTCTTATATTAATTTTTGCTCCCAAAGATGCGCTAGATCTTATTTTCAGGGGATGTCTTATTTTTCCATGTGCTAGGTCTTATTTTCAGAGGATGTCTTATTTTCGGGGAAACACGGTAGAAGGCTTGGCTCTGCTCCATGCTACAAAATTTCAATTGTAGAAGATAGATAAAGCCTAGAAACCAGGGCCTCCACTTGGGTCGCCAGGGGGCGTGGCCAGCCTCTCACCCAGGCCATCCCACGCCTCCCACCACAGGCCTCTCACCCAGGCCATCCCACGCCCCAAGGGAACCCCCACCCTGATCTGGGACACCCTTCAGGGCAAACCAGCTGGCCCAGACCCATGCACCAGGCCTCTATCCTATCTAATAAAAGAGTAATATGCAGATTGACCATCACTCCAACACACAAGATCGCTGCCACAAATGGTCAAAAATTCTGTCCCCATGTGGACACAAGATGGCCAGCAGAAGAGGGCAGTTGGAAGGAACCAGGCCTGCAAGGGAGGGCTGCTGTGGGTGAACAGGCCAGCAGGGGAGGACAGTTGGGAGGGACCAGGCCTACAAGAGAGGGCAGTTCGGGGTGATCAAGCCTGCAGGGGAAGGCAATTAGGGGTGACCAGGAGGGCATAGGAGGGAAGTTGGGGGCAAACAGACTGGCAGGGGAGCAGTTAGACTTTAATTAGGCTGGCAGGGGAGTTGTTAGGGGTGTGGCAGGCAGAAGTGATTAGGGGCAATCAGGAAGGCAGGCAGACGAGCGGTTGGGATCCAGCAGTTCTGGATTGTGAGAGGGATGTCTTAGATTGGAGAGGGTGCAGGCTGGGCTGAAGGACACCCCCGCCTCCACCGTGCATGAATTTCGTGCAACCGGGTCTCTAGTGATTATACTAATAAAACTTGCCAACACTTCATGACTGCTTACTAGTACTTGTGCCCAATACTGTTTTAAATTCTTTTCATATGTTAACTTGTTTGTCTCTCACACTAATCTCATGAAGAAATTGAGATACTTGCCTTGAATCAGTCCACTACAATCATAAATCAAGCATAGAAATGGTCATAACTGATTTCCATAGTTAAAAATATATAGGTCATTTGTCTACCATTATCTGACTTCATTTGCTACTTCTTGAAATACTTCTCTTTTGTGACTCTTAATTTCTCTGGATGGTTTTCTTTGCTTAGAAATGTCATCTACGCAGGCTGTTTATTCTCTTAAGTTTCTTCATTTGAGAATGGCGATAGTAGTGCTTACCTTCCAAAATTGTTCTCAGATTTAATGATTTTAATGAATACTTTGGCACATAAGTATTCTAAGGGTTTACCATTACTACTACTACTATTACTACTACTATCACCACCACTGTTACTACTAAGTGCTTTTAAATCATTAACTGCTCTGTTTTTTATTCCCCTTTCTTTTTGCACCTGGACCACTAAACATTAATAATCCACAGGGCTTGGTCATAGTTCTTTTTCTCTGAGTCTCTTCATATGTGAGGTCATTTAGTCTGGTTGCTTAAAATGCCAACCATATGTGGATGATTACCAGATGTGCATTATCTCTAGTCCTTTTCTCATTTGTTTTTCAGCCTATATATATATCCAGTTATTTACATGATATTTCCATTTGGATATTCTATAGGAATTTTAGACTTAATATGACAAAAGGCATTTGAAGTCATATTCCTCTTTCCCATATTAATAAATAGAACCACTATTTACCCAATTGCTTTCACATAAACCTTCGTGTTATGTTTGTTCCCACATTTAACTCAAGTTGGCTCTATGGAATAAATTTACTCGTGTATTTCATTGAGTTCAGAATACACATCCAATCTGTCTACTTTCAGTCTCCATTGCTATTGCTCTGTCAAACACCCATTGTCTTTGCCTGTACTACTACAGGCACCTCCTAATTTATCTTCTTGCTTCTATTCCTCCTTCCCTCCTTCTAATTCATTCTCTTTTAAGCAATTGGAGTAATCTTTTTAAAATATAAATTATATTGTAATATAACGTATAAATTATATGATATAACCTATTTAATAATATAACCCACTATTGTTCCCTGTATCAAAACAAAATACCCATTTCTATTACAGTTTACAAGCTACTACACAGTCTAAACCTTTCCTACCTCTGACCTCATCTTTTTCCATTTTCTTCTTTGAATACTTTGCTTCAGACACACTAACCTCCTTTCTCTTTCTCAACCATACTAAATTTATTTCTGATTTTGACATTTGTAATACCTATTCCTTTTACCTAGAAATGTATCACCCATATATTAGCAGTTTGCTCCTTTATGTCCTATAGGATTCTGACCATCTCCAAGAGGCATCACTGAGTGTTGCGATAACTGAAATAAGCACAGCTCAGTCCTCTATTATAATGATAGTCAAGCTACTGCCCACAGGTCAAATACGGCAGGTAACCTGTTTTTGTACTGTCTGAGAGCTAAAAATGGGTTTTAGATTTTTTTAAATATCAAAAAGAGTGAATATATGACAGGTTTTATGTGACCCACAAAACCTAAAATATTTACTGTCTGACCCTTTATTAAAAGAGAACTAATGGATATTCAGAATTACTTGTTCATTTGTATCATTGGTTTTTTTTTTTATTTTTTTATCTCAGAATCTTAATTGTTGAAGAGTTTTGGCATGTTGGTTAAGATCTGTGCAATGAAGGAATTGAGCAACAATCTATTTATTTTTCTATTTTTTTAATTTATTAAATTATTATCTGTGTACATGCAACAATCTATTTATATCTCTCTCTATGTAAAAGGCTAAGTGTCCTTCCTTCCAACTGGGAGCTATGACGTGCACTGATCACCAGGGGCAGATGCTCAATGCAAGAGCTGCAGTGATGTGCACTGGCCATTTAAAAATAAATGGCACCATGGACCTGGCACTAACAAACCAACACTTGGCTTTTCCCAAGTGGGACAAAGGCCCTGCCAGCACCCTGGAGCCACACCCCACTAAACCACAGCTAATGCTGGCAAGATCCCATGGCACAAAATGTAACCCATAGCCCAGCCCAGCCCGGAAATGGTGGCTGTGGGCGCCGCGTAATGACATCATGTAGCAACGCCCATCTTCCTCTCCCTAGAGACTAGCCTCCTTGGAATTTCTTTAGCCCAGAAACATGACTTGCTTTATAGCCAGGTGCAAACATTTTACAATTCAACTAAATGTCTGTGAAGCATTTCCCCATGCCTTATCTCATTTAATCCTAACAGAAGTCTTGGAGTAGGTAGATAGGAGACTCTTTAGAATCCTATTTTCTTTTCATTAGCAAGACATCAGAGATTTATAAAGTTTAGAAACTTGATCCAACTGAAAAATAATAAATGGTGGAACTTGAAAATGACTTCAGGTTTTGTCACTGTGCACAGTATAGTCAACACTGCTACAATTAGATATTTTACCCTTTTCCTGCATGATCTACAATAATAATCTGCTTCGTGTTGATATTTACTGCTATGTTGCTGAAATTACCTGAAAGAGAAATTGGGGTGCTTCACTATTCTAGGAAAAGTTTAGCTAAATCAGAAAGCAGGTCTAATTAATAAGTTTATCTATATATATAAAAGGCTAAGTTGACTGGTGCATGGGCAGTACATATAAAGTTCTTGCTGGTGCCAGTCACACACGTGTTTTGATCTGTCATTGTTGATTGTGAATTTGGTTGACACTTCTATTATGGAGAAAGGGTGAATAGCAAGGGTAATATGCAAATTGATTCTAATGGCAGAATGACTGGGAATGACCAGTCGCTATGACACGCACTGACCACCAGGTGGCAGATGCTCAACACAGGAGCTGCCCTCTCGTAGTCAGTGCGCTTCCACATGGGGAGCACCACTCAGCCAGAAGCCAGTTCATGGCTGGCCAGCATAGCAGAAGTGGCAAGAGTGTCTCTTGTCTCCGTGTCAGTGGTAAGGATGTCTGACTGTCAGCTTAGGCTAGATCCCTCAGGGAATAGTCCTAAGCCATCAGTTGGAAATCCCCCAAGGGCTTCTGGGCTGCCAGAGGAATATTTGCCTGCCAATTTGGGGAGGGGGGGGGCTAAATCGTCAGTCGGACATCCCCAAGGGGTCCTGGACTGTGAGAGGATGCAGGCTGGGCTGGGGGACCCCTTCACCCCCAGAACATGAATTTTCGTGCATGGGTCTCTAGTAGTATAATAAGAAAAAGATTATTTAAAAATCAATGGAAATATGCCCTGCAAGTTTCTCAAACGTTTTTAGAAGATTCTTGAATAACCTTATAAATGTGGTTCTGAACTCTTTCCTCCATCTCTTTCGTTCGTAACATGTTTCTGTGTCTGCATTTTGGCTGCTTCTCTGTGTTGATGCAGTGGCTTTGTGTGGTTGGTGACCTATAGAGGCCAGTAGGTCAGCTTCCCCAATCACCTGAGGTGGTCACTCTTGGTACACCTCTTTGTGGGCTGAGTGCAAAGTCTTGGTGTAATTAAGCCTTGATTGCAGTTGGTACACTGGGAGGAATTTTCCTCCAGGCCTATCAGCTGTGAGGATCCTCTGTGTCTATAAAGGAAGAACTGCTATGCTGGAGACACGCTTATGGTGCAGGCTTTGTTTCAGTGGGACTATGGTGCTCACTGAGTCTGTCTCCCGAATGTGTCACTTATGGGTGTGAGGAGTTGAAATCTGGTGTCTCATACTGACCACTGGGTACACTGGCTTCTGGATCTTCAATGGGGTGCAGTTCAGCTACTGTTTGAGGCCACTCTGCAGGAGCTACGGTGAGAACCACAGTTCTCTCCTCCCTGTTTGAAGCTTGGAGGCTTTGGAGCTGTCTGCACCAGGTTTCAAGTTTGCTAGGTTATACTGCACTAGAGAAGGCCATTCATTTGCAAAACCTGCTGCTTGGAGCTTGGGTGTGTTTGTAGATTGTGCGGGGCGGGGTCTCAGGGCATTAGGAGGCTAGGGCGTGGCCAATAACGATGGCTGCCCGTCAGCCATCTCTGCCTCTCAGCCTGCGTCCTTGGGTCTCGTGGGCCCAGCACAGCAAACAATTATTCTTGCTCGTAGCTCTGCAACGAAGCCACCCTCACTTTCTGACTGATCAGCTAGCTTCTCCCCAAAAACTGAATTTTAGAGAGATTGGGAACTTGCCTCTCTTTGGGTTGAGGAAAGCAACGCAAACCTCCAGCCGGGATCCACTGCCAGCCCGTATCGCGCGTGCGCCCTCAGTTTTTCAGCGCTTGTGCCTTGAATGCTCTTTTTTCTTTCAGTCTAGTTGTAGAGCTTCCTCTCAGCGAGCTATCCCATGGTTCTGGGTGATAAGACGTTTTGTCTTTTAGTTGTAGTTTTGTAATTGTTGTGCCTGGCATCAGTTTACCTATGCCGCCATCTTGGATCTCTCCGGACTTTATTTCTTATTTACAATACATCACAGTGGAGTGCAGTAAAATGAATGGAGGAGAGGTAATAGTGGGAACTCTTCTCCATGTAGACATTTTGGGCCCAGATTCATTCCATCTAGTGGCTCTGTATCCCTTAGGACAGTGGCCAGCAAACTCATTAGTCAACAGAGCAAAATATCAACAGTACAATGATTGAAATTTCTTTTGAGAAACAAATTTTTTAAACTTAAAATTTTTCTAATGCCACTTTTTCAAAATAGACTCCCCCAGGCCTGATATTTTGTGGAAGAGCCACACTCAAGGGGCCAAAGAGCCGCCTGTGGCTCGTGAGCCACAGTTTGCCAACCATGGCTTTAGGACCTTAGATCTTTTTCTGAATCCTCTCCCATTTTTCCAGCAGAATGAGAATTTTATTTGATCAGCCTGAAGGGAATGTTCATCATTCCTGCCCACATTTTATTGGCTTAAGATTTGGTCACATGGTCATATGAAACTAACTGCAAGGAAGTTTGGGAAATATAGCCCAGGTATGTAAATAGGAAAGAAGGAAATGGGTTTGTAAGAGTATTGGGGAGTACTGAAAAAAAAAAAAAAAAAAAAAAAAGAAACATTAAGAAACAGTTTGTAGAGTTTAAAAATATATTTACATATGGAAGTAAGTTGCATATATATTTGTATATGTGATTACACATTTTTATGGTAATAACTGTTTATTTGTAGAACACTTGAATTCTAACTACTGAAATAGTGAAGAAACATGTGTACCACTTTCCCAGGGTTGTTTTTCTAAAATAAGTTAAAAGTGTTTAATAGCTCTCTCCCCATGAAACTTACAGCTTCACTTACATCACTATTGTTTTCCACAATTGGACCTTGCCTTGATAATAATAGAATGTTCTCCTTTTAATATGTACTGGTGAGGCCTTTGCCTTGAGTGATTTTTAAAAAATTCTCACTTGTGGATATTTTTCCATCCCTTTTAGATAAAATGGAAGAAAGGGGTAGGGTAAGAGATACACATCAATTAGTAGCTTCCTGCATGCACGCACACACACCCTGCCTGACCTGGGCTGTGGAACGAACCTGCAACCCGGGTATGTGCCCTTGACTGGGAATCAAACCTATGACCATTCACTGTGCAGGCCAACAGTTTAACCACAGAGCCACAGTGACCAGGGCTTAAGTAATTTGTTTTCTTTCTTTCTTTCTTTTTCTTTCTTTCTTTCTTTCTTTCTTTCTTTCTTTCTTTCTTTCTTCCTTTCTTCCTTTCTTCCTTTCTTCCTTTCTTCCTTTCTTCCTTTCTTCCTTCCCTTTCCTTCCCTTTCCTTCCCTTTCCTTCCCTTTCCTTCCCTTTCCTTCCCTTTCCTTCCCTTTCCTTCCCTTTCCTTCCCTTTCCTTCCCTTTCCTTCCCTTTCCTTTAATATATTTTATTGATTTTTTACGGAGAGGAAGGGAGAGGGATAGAGAGCTAGGGACATTGATGAGAGAGAAACATCGATGAGCTGCCTCATGCACACCTCCCACTAGAGATGTGCCCGCAACCAATGTATGTGCCCTTGATCGGAATCAAACCTGGAACCCTTCAGTCCGCAGGCTGAGGCTCTATCCACTGAGCCAAACTGGTTTCGGCTAATTTTTTTTCTTTAGTGAAGCTAGATTTTTATTTTTCAGACATGTACTAGTATTTGCCTGATTCCTTACCTCTCTTGTTAGTGAATGATAATGTATGATTCTGTTAACATTCATCTATAGATTCCTATGATAAAGCATGTATAACCTTAAGAATTTGATAAAGTAAAAGCAACAGTATATAATTTTTGAAAATTAAATTTTATTAGTGCACAGATACAAAACTGCATTCAAAATCTCTAGTTGTTTCATATTTTTAACTGAACTTGAATTTAAAGGAAACTCTAATTTCTAATTTCGTTTTCTTTCTCCACAATAGTTTCCTTTTATAATTTAGTTTCTTTTAACTTAGTCCAGTAAATACCATCATAAGCTGGCCTATTCTGAACCACACCCTTCTGACCATAGCAACTGTCTACCACATTGTTTTTCTGTTAGGATATATTTTTGAAAGAACTACTTTGGTATGCAGTGTTTCCCAAACTTTTGACATATGTGTACCCCTTCTATAATTTTCGTAATGCTGAGTACCCCTTGTACTCATGAGAACGTAGAATTAGGCGCAGCTAAGCACGGTGCAGTGCATATCCCCACCAAACTCCAGTGCAACGCGTACCCCCACCAAACTCTTCCCATATCCCTGGGGGTACGTGTACCACACTTTGGGAAACACTGGTATAGAGAATAAAAAGAATATTAATTTTCTTTATAAAAGATGCAGCAATGTTTGATTGCTGTAATAGTACCAGTAATATGCTAATTCTTTGTATAATTTTATTTCCACATTTATCC